TGATGCGCGCGTGCGAATAAAAAAAAAGTTTTGCAAAAAAAAAGTTCTTTTCATTATGAAATCTACGTGGTCATGAGGGTTGAGCAAATGGCACAGAATATGGTTTGGCGAATAATCTAGTCTTCAAGTTCATTTCTTTACAATTTCGTCTTTTTTCGTTTGATTTCGGCATTCTACGACATTGGTATAGTTTTTATGAATTTTTTTTTGTAACTTATGGTATATTTTTGCTCATTTTGCAACTGTTTTGGACGATTTACAGTATGGTTGAAAACTTTTTTTTTTTGGAAACGGCCGAAAATTCATGCGCGCGCGGATGTCATCCATATAATCAAATCAACATGGCCTTATCCATCTTGAACAAATCCAGGTCAATCTGTCAACCCTCCTCACAGGTGTAGGGACTGACATGGTCATCATACTCGGAAAATCTGTATCTGTACATGAATCTGTATAATGAATATGTATCTGTACATGAATCTGTTATCTGATTGCAAATAAAGATCTCAAGTGATTGTCATAGACAGATTTTGTATTGAACTTTTCAAACATCTAGGGAAGGAATGGACTCACGCATTGACAGGGTCGTAAGGTCGAGCGGCGTAGAGGGGGTAGGTCTCTGCTTTCCTGATGATGTGCTGCGTGTCGTACAGCAGGAAGGCTCCAAACAGGATGAGTCCACCGTACATGCTGATGGAGTACAGGCCCAGACCCAGGGCTCCCGTCGGGGGGATGAACATGTTTCCTACACAAACACAGGGAAAAACTAGAATTCAAACCTCCATGAAATATTTAGATTTTGTATTAATAAATGTTGACTAGGGCTGTGTACTGGCTCGCTGGACCAATTCCAGACTTCAAGTCCAAAAAAAATCTAAAAGTCAAGAACCAATTCTGGACTTATTAAAAAAAAAAACATGCCACATGCATCCCCTTTTCGTTCCAAAGCACCTAAAATCTTCCAAAGATTGCAAAATCTGTGCTACAAAATGAAGAAATGGGTTTAGGTCTGGACTTCAGGACTCAAAATTAAAGGTGGTCCAATGGCTACTGACCACTAAAATTTAGGCTGGGAAAACTAAAATGACACTTTGGGACATTTTTGGGACAATAGAAAAATAACCAACATCAGAATGTCAGCCCTTCTTTTGTTTATCAGGCACACGTCCCAGCTTTTGGATCCAGAAAAGTCCCCCCAATTTTCCGTCTACTCTGCAATTATAGTGCGCCTGGGAGTGAACATAAGCAACATAAAGTTGACTTCAAGTTGAAGTCATACAATACTTCCCAAAAACCAGGTTCGGATAGTTCATCCTACTTTGAGACAATTGAAATTTATTTTTAGAAAACTTAATTTCGAGGCCTGGGACTTTTAAGTCCGGGACTGAAACTTCTGGACCTGAATCCAGACCTAAATTGGACCCTCAATTTTTTGTTGGAACCAAATTTATGGATTTTACCAACACAGATAAACTTTAATTCGAGCTTTCGGGAGGGTAGTTACTCCTGAAATCTTCACTATGTTATACCTGGCTATGTGACAGTATAATTAGTACAACATACTAACCAATGGAAGCCATGAAGACAACACCCAACCCGATGGCCAGTGGTCCGCCCATGTTCAGGAACTTCTCACTCGGAGCACACACTGCAACAGCTGACAGACCTGAAACACAACAACATTAGTGTCTTTATGTTGCTTGTACTTTGGATTTTAATGCCAGATGGTTTACAATTGCCTGCTTTTCTGGTCCAAGAAAATGTGTAGTGTCTGTAGAAAAGTCTAAAATGGCTTATTAATACAATATACTGTACATGTACTAGTAGTAAAAGCTATGAGTACATACTATGTGAAAACTCAATGTTCTGAAAGACTGAAACATATAAAGTAGCCACTTTGCCTTGTGCATGGTACCACTTGTGGTACAACTTTAGGTATTGAGAGTGGAAAAATACAAAATTTGAAAAATTGGCCCAAGTGCAACACCCTGGTCTTGAAATAGTTAACAGGCATAAATTACTCTTTACAGCTTTGTTCCATTCAACAATTATCAAACACTATTACATGTACATCACATCCGCTGCAAGATCAGTTCATGGTTAAAAAAGTTATAAGAGCTTGGTAACAATTCTTCACAAGAACTAAATTCATCTACAGTACATTGTATGTCTTACACTTGGTTGTACATGAAGGTTTTAAAGGAAGCATCCTTCCATCTTTCCATTGTTTAACTGGATTTTGCCCCTTAATTATGACAGACAAAATTTTGCCCAATCCGTCATCTTTGACGGGCAAAAATCTGCCCCTCAGGAAAATTTGCCCCTCAAAATGCAGGAAATATAAGTGATTCAGAGTGAAATTTCAAGGATTATCTCCTCTCTGGAGTGATGCCTTGCGCCTTCGATGATCATCATGATGTTACGTCAAACAAAATTGAGATGACGGAAAAAAATTCAGACTGCCTAAAACACTGCTACATTATGTTACCATGCTGTGATTAGATACATTACAAAATACAGTGTACCAATTCTCAATGGCAATACATCACAATAACCTCAACAGGAGCACTATTAGCTCATGAACACCTACCTACCGTTTAGTAATTTAGTTCAGTGGCCTCTCAATCACGGTAAGCCGTGTACGTCATAAGAACTAATGGTTGGAATGCTTGCTAAGCTTACATTTGTGTTGACCAATGACTATGTACAAGATTGGCAGCAGAGATAGGCATGCGTACTTCCCTGACCCAAACCACGGGCTTTTAGGAGTGAGCAAACAGCTGGATACTCATTACCCTTTTAGTGGTCCGATTGATTCATTTTTTCATCAAGTACAACTGGTGACGCTTTAAAAAAAGTGAGGTACTTGTCAAGTCCCAGTATTGGTGGAAATGCAGATACATGTACAGAGACAACAACAGAAGAGTGAGCTAGCTATAGGTTAACACTGTGATGGGTACAATAATTTGTTTTCAAATTACATGTATATGAATTCACCTTTCACAAGTGAAATCTTTGTTTATCATTTGACTGACACATTTAAATCAAGGCAAATTAAAGTATTATATTAAGTAAGACATGTATGCATTGTTCAACAGATATCAAGTAGTTGTAGTAGTAATACAGTTTCTAATTGTGCTATTTGGTGTAATAGACTACAGTTCATTCAATGGTCATTGCAGAGACAGGACTAGTTCATCATTTAGTTCCAGTAGGCCATTGGTATACGTAGTGTGTAGAGTTGCGAAGTTGCCTGCCATGTTGCTGTCCACGGGTAGGGGGCAGCCACGTGGAGAAATGAAGCAACCATTATAGTTTCACGGCAAAGTCAGGACACAGTTGCGGCGCCGGTCACATATCGCTTTTTTTTCTTGAACGTCAAAATATTACATTATTTTACTACTTTAACAACTGCATATGAGCAGTTATATTTTGGATTTCAAAGACGTTTGTAACAGATGATGTAGCATTAAAATACCTGCTAAGTTAGAGAGACTTGAATGTGTGTTTTGTCCTCAGCATGAATGGAACAATGGGCAAAGAGTTTAATTGAACTACAATCTTCAGGCACCAAATATCACCACAGGGTACTTTAACCAATCACAGCCTGACAGTTAATTAGATTATTGTCCTGTTTAGGTCACCAAAATGACCTCTGACCAAGGTCAAAGATAAGCTAAAAATAACTATGGCTGATTCAACCTACATTTAGGACAATGTAATATGCTTTTTTTGCTGTCATTAGAGAACTTTGAGTACTAAGGAAGATGGACCATGAAACATAAATCTCCCCAAGATGTCAAGTGACGTTGCACCTAACAATAAAAACATTTCACAACAGGTGTCACACTAGAGCTGTGTACCAGTACTCTGTAAAATTGATAAGGACCTGGTACAGTTTCGAAACACCTAATCACTCAGTACTGGTACTGTACCTAAACAATTTCACACTAATTATATGCCTATTTGTGACCTAAAATGTGTAAATAGCTGGTTCCCCATGGGTCCCAAAGTAAGGACAGCCTTCGTGTTACAGACTGACAGTGTTAACTACCCTGAAAGATCTGTTCCATATTAGCTATGCTTCCTCTAGATGTCACTTTGGTCAGGTACTGTGTTGCAGGGTTGGAGATGAAAACTAAAACATCTTAGTTTTACCCATGTTTTGTGTAGGAATTCTCCATAAACAAAAACTTACACTTGACTGTCAAGTTTATTCATGTTTCTGTCATTATGAAAGGAGTTCAGAAGAACAATTGTTAATTGTTGAATCACTCAGGTACAGTTTCAGGTCTGCACCTGTACCTAAACCCGTGTACCTGTACCTGTGCCTGTACCTAAAATTTGTACCATTAGGCCACACCAATTTAATTTCTTGGTTAACGGATTTTTCTAGAAAAATAATGGAGCGGGCGGGCGAAAAAAAAATAAAAATAAAAACAGGCCTAGGCATCGTATTTTGGCCCAAAATGGTACGATAGGAGCCATGAAGTCAACACACCAGGCTGGTTCAAAATTTAAACAATGAATTATGAACTTTTAATGATACCATTGCATTGAAAGATGGAATAACTGTAACAACTAGGATGAAAAGGTCTGTTTTCCACTGTTCAGGGCAAAATATGAGCATTTTGCAGTTGATTCTGGATTTTTATTTTTATTTGCAAATCTGAAAAAAATGAAGCGGTGAATCCGTTAACCAAGAAATTAAATTGGTGTGGCCTTAGGTAGGGACAGCAAACCACCCTCTGTGGTACAGGAAAATTTTGTTACATACATAAGCCCTGACCTGTCTACATTCCTAAAAAGATTTACATAATGAGCAAACACACCAGTCCTTGAACATATCTGAAAATGTGCGTATGTGTCCTTTTTAACCGCAATTTGCAAACACTTCAAAGTCAAAGGTAAACTTGGACTTATGGACCCAACTCAGGTTGATGCGTTAAGTTTAAGTGTGAATTTTATTTGTTGAGGTACTCTTTTGGTACCAAATTTGCAGTGGTTTACTCACTAGTAGTATGTGGTTAGGTTGATCACCATGAATGGATAAAGTTAAACAGCACCACCTGTAGACTTGGTATGGAACTGCAGGCAAATGGGTGTTTTTTAAATGTTTCATGTTAAAGCAAAGGATCCGTTTAACTATAAGCATGTTATGTTACGCTTCTATCCAATGCTCACAAATCTATGTGAATAGAATTTTAAGAAATAAATATAGAGGTACGCTTGCGCTATGCTTACCTCCCACGATCCCGGCAGTGTACCAGGCTGCTCGCATCAGGATGGGTCCCCCGATGAAACACAGGGGTGCGACCACGGCCCCCATCACTGCCGCGTGTGTCAGCCAGGCCAGCTGCTTAGCCCCGAAGCCTGGGGAGTAGGGAATGGAGTGGGTGATCATGTTGGTTCCGATGATCGCTGCGAAAGTGGCTCCGATGGCCTGCAACAAGAAACAGGGATCGAAATTCAGTTTTGGGAACAGGTGCACCTGTGCATCCAACATAAAAAATTGGGTGCACAAAAATTATTTTGGTTGCACCATATAATATAAAACACATCGAATAGAATGTCAGCAAAAACTAATTATGTTTCATTTCTTAAGAATTTAACTTATATTTTAATCATTTTTCTGACACTTGAATATGCTGTACACTACTATACATCTTTACATACGCAAGCCTTCGAAAATATTTGGGTGCACTGGAAAAAACTGGGTCCACAGCTCTAAATTTGGGTGCATTAAGGTGCACATGCATCCAGTATTTCAAGCCCTGAAATCATCGTGGACAAAGAAGATTTGGAACAGACCAAGTGTTCATTTTCCGCATACTGACTGTGTGCTAGCCAGCAACTGTTTTTCCACCATTTACAACAGTTTTATTGTTATGTCCAGCAATTAATGGACATAACGTTTTTGTGACAACAATCATTATTGTGTATTCTGTAGGTATTTATTATTTCTTATAATGCCCTCTTGTTATTCAATATTAATTTGGTCAGTTTCCGGTTTCCCTTGTCTGTTTACCTGTGTGTTACAGTAATAAAGCTGAAGTAAACAAATAAAAAAATGAAAATAAAAGTTGGAGGTGAGGTTTACCAGCCAGGAGTTCTTAGCGACCAGGTTGAGCATGGCGGGGCTCCTGAAGACTGCGGCGGCCGTCGCTGCTGTCACCACGATCCCCCCGCCGAAGTACATGTAGGTGTCCCTGATCCGCGCCTTCACATAGTCCTGCCACATCCTGGGGAACATTACAGGATGGATTTTATGAAGGCATTCAATCAGGCATAAGGAAAAATATTTTGTGTTTCCAGACCGACCCCAGAAAAAAAACTGCCGAGCCCTTTTTTTTTGTGGATCCCTGCAAGGGAAATAAATTTTTTTAGCTGATTGACCTTTTCTAGCTCCATGGGGGTATAGCGGTACGAGATGTGGCTTGTTTTTGGGTGCTACGAAATTGTAGTAATTGTCAATATCAGACAGATTTCTTCACACAGAATATCTTTTACTTTGCTGTCCTGAAATTGCATTGGATGCCTTCTTTCTGAAAAAATTCCAAGAACCAACAAATCAAATTGGTGTGGCCTTACTGTTCCAATACTTACACAGACTTCTCCAGTGCCCCTGGCTCACTGGACAGTCCCAGTCCATAGTAACACAGAACTACCACCAATACTTACACAGACTTCTCCAGTGCCCCTGGCTCACTGGACAGTCCTAGTCCATAGTAACACAGGACTACCACCAATACTTACACAGACTTCTCCAGTGCCCCTGGCTCACTGGACAGTCCCAGTCCATAGTAACACAGGACTACCACCAATACTTACACAGACTTCTCCAGTGCCCCTGGCTCATTGGACAGTCCCAGTCCATAGTAACACAGGACTACCACCAATACTTACACAGACTTCTCCAGTGCCCCTGGTTCACTGGATAGTCCCAGTCCGTAGTAACACAGGGCACCGATGCCGAACAGGGCCGCGCCTGCTGCTGCCCCCTGGCCAATGGAAATCGCTGCAAATACACAGATTTAAATTATACATGTAATTTCTTTTGCTAAGGGTATAAGTACATATATTAGGGTTCCATTTCACACAACTGGTATAGGCTTTCACCTTCTTATGTTTCAATGTCAGTAAACCTTTACTTTATATAATGTCTTGTACAGTGACATACACACACACACAGAGTGACACTCACACACACACACATACACACACACAAACATACACACACACACACACACAAACATACACACACACACATATATGATTATAAAGGTTAGAAGTCAAATAGAGACCCTGACCTGCCATTCCCCGTGCTACAGAGGTAGTACTGTCCGCCTCTCTTGCTCCCACCCGTGACTTGAAGGCTCGAGCCCGCGTGGCCATGGTCTGGGACCTGACCGTGAATGGGGAGCCGGTCAGGAATCTCAGCCCCGCTGACCGCAGGGGGGTGGTCTGGGCCACTCGGGACGGGATCTGTGTGGCCAGCCGCCCCAGGGGCAGGACTACCAGCCTGGTCACCAGCATGTCTGTTTTCTCTTACCTGAGGACACAGAGAGTAAGAAAACTACTTAGTAACCTCATAACACAAGGACATTTATGAGTACAAGTGTATGTAACATTATTCCTACTTAGCATTATGCGGCTAATGGCCCAAAACAGTCAATAGCATTTTGTAATGGGTAATGTTGCAAAATTATATTACTTCATTATATAACGTTAACCATACATCCAAAATATAGTATTTACCCAAGGTATTTACCATTAGGACAACCTCCTTGGTAATACCGATAGAATACTGATTTACCGTGATATAACAAAATGGGTCTGGGGAAGCCACAAAAAAACAACAAAACAGATATAACGTTATAATGTAAATACAACCCAGCAGTATACGACTAAAAGGCTGTGCATTGTACGTGTACAATGATTTAAGTGCAATAATTGGATGATCATAAGAGATCTTCGGTTTTCAAAGGTAATTATGCCCCCCTCCCCCATATACGCACGAAAATGGCTTCCAAAATTATGTCAACAACATACGTTCACGGGGATGTTTTGTCCCCCTCATGTGTATCATTTAATTTGCTGTTGTCTTGACATGTCAGGAAAGCATGTTTTTAGGCTCTACGTAACATATAAAACTTCTTTCATCTCCGTGAAATCTGCTGCGTAATAAACTCGCATGTCTTTTCTGCCTCCATGATGATACTCACCGTTTCCCCTAGATCTTTCGCCCCTTTTCTTTCTCTTCCCTGGCCTTTTCAACGCTCCTGGCGTTAATATCGAAGAACAATTACCAGCAGTTCACAACACGTCGTGAAAGAAACACACCAGTACTGCGTCGAACCAACTTGAGGTAAACACAACTTCGCACAAGGACACCTACTCGTTCGCTCGGCTTCTAGAATGGTCTCTTACAAGTTACATCAGTCTACATGCATTTTGTAATAATGTCATTGCGTCATGCCATATTGGGGGATTCCTTTCCGACTTTTCACTTCTTAAACATACGTTTTATTTGATACAAAGGAAATACAACACATTGGGCAACACTTATAATTCTTTTGATTTAATGAAATAAACCACATAAAATGTAGTCCTTACCTTCTCAAAGAGTTTGCAGAAATTTCAAGGATTGTCGCTAGATGGCGCTGGTGCACGGGAAAGTTTTTGGTGGTGCGAGACCACAGTTCAATCTCGTGCACAAGGCACTTGGAACTCTCGTTCTCAGGTCACTGTTGTGCTCCATCTCTATCAAGCAGATGTTGGGTCGTCCACTAGCTTCCAATGACACACTCGGAGATTCTCTGACAGCAGTCAGTGGCAAGAACGTTACGATCTCCCATCAGTTGAAGAATTCAATTTAATAATATAATCCGTAGAAGTACAAAGAAGAAGAATTATAACTAAATAATTTCGTAGTAAGCAAATGACTTTAATTTGTTTTTGCTATCTGGTACTAGTATAGTATATTAACTTGTGGACGTCCGAGTTGAGTTTGAATACATTTTTTATTGCACAGGTAAATAAGAACTTCTGTGGATTACTTTTTGAAGTAAAACTGGCTAATTAAATTGTACATTGTGCGAGATCATGTTACGTTCATATTCCTGTAATATATATATACTAGTAACTAGTGAAAAGTGTGGCATCTGCTGGTAAATAACGTAGAATGTAGTATGCGAACTCTGACAATGGGCTTTTTGGAGAAATTTAACGTCTAAACATGCTTAAATAATTATTTTCCCTATGAACCCTGCATCACGATCGGTTTCAAGTTACTGTCCGCTGAATTCGAAATTCATCAGTTTTATTGTGTCAGTTTTCGGTATTCGTTTCATTCATTGCTCAGTGAGGAACATCAATATCAGTGAAAGTTTATTGCAAGTACTGTGTAACATAAAAAATGACACTTAATACTAACTTATGGGTTCGTCTTCTTTTTCCGAGACAAAGGAAGACGAAAAAAATTATCCCACTTTTTCTGTAACATGTGAGTTTGGGAGAGAATTTTTCTTTTTGCCTGAAAACGTGCGTGGAGAAGTTAGGATTGAATTTGTTGACCTCTTTACACAGGCCCTTTTTTTCGTGATATCGTAGAAGGGAGCAATTTGAAATAATAAAATGTGTAATCAGTAATCATCCACTAAAGCGATGTCTTTATCCTCTATGTAATCTGCGAGGATTTTGCCCCTTCTATGGAGTATGTGGACATATCTGGTCAGCTCGTCTCGGTCTTGTGTGTTCCAGAAGACTTTATCCACTTGTAAGGACCGCAGCAGGAGCTCGCCCAACCGTCCAGACTTCAACACCTCAACCGCTCTGCGTGGAACCCTACGGAAAGAAACAGTATTTTATTTGTTGATTTGCTGTCACCAAGTACAGTAATATCAGACAGATATCCTCATCCAGAATATTTTTGTCTTGCCACCCTGAAATTGTAGTGGTTGCCTTTAATGGCTTATTATCTGTCACTATGCATGATGTACAAAATGACTAATAAACTGGTGGACGTCCCAACTACTAAGTGCCTAATACCAGCCCAGAATAAATAGCCATGCTACCAACTCAAGTACCAGTTATCAACCAAGGATTGAGGTGTTCAAGAATCCATTCTTTCCTAGAACTATTATCACAGAGTGGAACTCTCTGTCACCAAGTACAGTAGGGGCATTGTCGCTAGATAGCTTCAAACAATGTCTAGAGTTAGATGTTCAAGGCAGGGTTAGGTGTAACATACCGTGGCCGACAAGGACAAACCTGCGTCGCCTGCGCGCACACCTGCGTCGCCTGCGCGCACACCTGCGTCGCCTGCGCGCACACCTGCGTCATCTCTGCAAAGAGCTTCCTCGTCTGCGCAAGACTACCTGCGTCGTGTCTGCCAAGAGCTTCCTCACGCCTGCACAGAAAGAGCTTCCTCGTCTGCGCACGAATACCTGCGTCGTGCCTGCCAAGAGCTTCCTCACGCCTGCACAGAAAGAGATTCCTCGGCGACCTCGCTGCGCGCAACGAAAGCTCGCTGCACGGAAGAATACGTGTCACCCTGCCTTGTTGAAGAATGGACGGTCCCCTATTATAGGTCAAGGGTCACATCGCAGTGACACTGTTCGCTGTCGTTTTTGTTTACTTCAGTCTCAAATTTGTTTTAGTTTTTATGCTTACAATGTCCAGCGCGTTTATTAATCAATAACGGGCCCGTTAGTGATAAAATTAATTAATAGAAATCCTGCATAGATTATGTTAATATTGCCCTTACGAAATCTGCCCCCTAACACCAGAACACCTCGTCTTCAATCTTCCCCGGTAAGTGCCCGTTGTTTAT